GCACGGCGCAGCACGGCACGGCACGGCGCGGCACGGCCCGGCGCAGCACTGCGCGGCACGGCCCGCCGGGAGCCGTAGTCCTGCCCGCCCCGCCGCTCGCACATTGGCTGCGCCCGCGGGGCGAGCCCGCCTTTGCATAAGGGTCGGCGCTGGCCGCGACTGCGCGAGCATCCTTGTCCCGGCGGCGCGAGCGGAGCGGAGCGGGTGAGCGGGGCCGCAGGGAGGGCACCGCCTGCGCGCGGGACCTGCACGAGTTGATGCCGCTCCAGGGGACCGGGCCAGGAAACTTCTGGCCCAGGCGGGCCGGGGCTGCACCCGCCGCTTCSTTGGCTCCTTTTCGCGAGAGGCTTTTGCAGAGCCCCGAGCAGCAGGCTCCCCAAAGCGCGAGCCTAGCGCAGGCTTTGCAAACAAGCTGCGCCCGCTTCCCCGGCAGCGCGGTGCCCCTTGCGCGGCAGGGAGCTCCTCCACCCTTGGGGCCGGCGCCATCTGGACTCTTCTGCAGCGCTGCTGTGCGGGGGAGAAGAGCGGCCCTGCTGCTACCGTCCATCACGGGCCGCTCTGGAGGCCTGCGTGCCTGCAGCCCGCCAAGGGTGTGGTGCTCGGCCAGCGCCAGGCTCGCACTAACGCAGGAAGTGGTGCTCACAGAGTGAGCTCGACGAGGGAACGGGAGCCGCTCTCCACTTGCTTTCACTGCCCTTTTCTCCAGCTTGCCTGCAGAAGCATTAATTCCCTCTCCCTTCTCATTCAACAGGTGCTTCTCAGTGAAAAGAAAGTAATCTGAAGAGACCAGAAATGCCTTGGCCAAGCAGAAAGAGAGACAAAGGAGCAGTAGCAGGTCTGTGCAGACATCCTAATTCAGCAGCTCTCACTTGGGGTTCCTGGCTAGGTGAAAGTGCAGATGGTCATCTTAACGGTCTGTCTTGCAGAGCAACGTGTCTTACAGACACCATTTCCTCTGCAAAAAYGGGCTGAGCATCCATGTGTGACTGAGACAATAGTCTAGCAGACATACAGCAAGGACAAGGAGGTGTTCTCAGCACAAGACAGTTTTGTTTTCTGGGTCCAAGACAAACAGGAATATGGACCATCTCTGAACCGCAAGCACAGTGGAGGCTTAATCTAAGGATTCCAGCTTCTGCAGTAATTAAAATAGCTTGCTTTGCTGCTCAATTTTCCTGTTATTCGCCACATTCTTTTAAATCGAATTTGTTGCCTCTAACTCTGCTGTTCATAAGTATGGCCTTTCTTAGCTTTTTTTTTTTTTTTTTTTTTTTTTATCCCTGCCAAGTATAAGCAGAATTATGATTATTTAAAAACTACATCTGTGCACACCACAAAAAAAAAATCTTCATTTCACACATGAGTTAGAAATGCTCAACAGCTCTGATGAGTAATATCAATAGTTAAACCCAGCACAAGGTCCAAACTTCTGCTGTAGGCAAATATCAGTTTGTGAAACTATCTTGAACAATGACATTGTTTCAGCACCAGTCCCTATCAGAATCAAAATGTGTTTTATCGGAATGTTTTTTTGTTGTTGTTGTTGTTGCTGTTTTTTTCCAGATAAAAAGGAGCCTGATGCTAAAATAGCAAAAACTGAAGAAACTCAGAAAAAAGAAGAAGAGGAGAAGTCCACAAAACCTCCAGCTGGGAGTTCCAAGTCAGGATGGAAGAACTGGAAAAAAGCAAAAGAAAGCGACGCTGGCGGAGAGGAAAGCAAGCAAACATATTGTCACTGGCTTCTGAAATCGGAGCCAGAGAGCAGGCTCGAGAAGGGAGTGGATATGAAAGTAAGCACTGTCACCAATTCTAGTGTTCTTAACTGTGCAAGGGTGTAAGCAGCTCCATACGGAACCAGAGCATTAGTTAAACACAGAGTCACAGGATGAGACAGCTTAGGTTGTTTGCARTATCAACATGATAGTGTTTCTTTCCTTCTTTTCCATTGCTTCTCAGCAATGATCTGTCGTCCTGGAAAGAGAAAAGGGTAATGCTGTTCTTTTCCAGCACAACAGCCTTAGGGCTTGATCCATGTAAAAAGAGAAGAAATCAGGTCCTAGGGGTGATTTGATGTTTATAGCATCTATTTCAGAACCTGTGGGAATCAAAAGGTTCTGTAAAGATTGTACTATAATGGAAGGATCAATTAAAAACAAATTAAGCAAAATGTAGACAGTATGACAAAAGAGACCAGCCTCACACCTGAGCTTACCTTCCATTTTCATTCCATTTGGCAGTTCAGCATTGAAGACTTGAAGGCTCAGCCCAATCAGACRACCTTTTGGGAAGGAGTAAGAAACTACCAGGTAAGGAGCAGCATCCAGTGTTAAAGATGGGATCACTCAAGTAATCAGTAGGAAATATACAGAAAAATGCAAGTGGCCTCTTTCCCAACAGATGACTTGTCCCCTTCAGCTATCTCATTGCTGAAGTTATTTCCTTTTGGAAATAACTTTTTGCTTGCTTTTACCGTTGTCTTTTGACCAGAGCACGTATGCTTAATTGCCTCTCCCTCAACTTCCTGTCAGCCTGAATCGGGTTAGACAGTACTGCCAACTGTTTGGTTTTCCTTTAGTCTGGTCTCTGGGGAGTTCAAACTGAGCACCAGTCTTTATTCTCCTCAACACCTTCCAGCAAGTCTCTGCTTAACCAAGTACCGCACTTTGTCAATGTACAGCTTTCTGTGCCAGCCTTCCTGTGCAAAGGAGATCCATGAACACTGCCTAAAGGAGACCAGCTCTGCTTCTTATTTGCTGCAAACTTAAGTCTCCTGCTATCCCCGAATGAGGATGGCCAAGCTGCTAAATTCCCAGTGCTTTCTAACCATCAGGATATTGCTCTCTAGCCTTGTTTTCACTTCATGAAGTGAAAGCAGCATGAAACATCTGTAGGACAAGTGTAGGAAGGCTTAACAGAGTAGTTCTGAAGCACATATCCCTCTCCTGTTGTTTGCTCCTGCTTTCATCCATTTATAGTCAAGCCCCGAGAGGGCCTGCCATGTCTCCTACAAAGAGCTCAGTCTCTGGTTTAAATCCGACAGGCACGGAATTTCCTGAGGGCAATGAAACTTGGGCAGCAGGCCTTCTTCTATCACAGTAACTGTAAGGAGCCCGGCATCGTTGGCATTGTCAAGGTGAGAGCCTCTTGCTCGTTCTGTGATTCAGAAGGGAAAAAAGAGAAATCAGTGTGTTATCAAATAATTCATTAGCTCCACTTCTGTCTCAAAACAAAAGGAGTGCAAGSGAAGTCTCAAGAGAGCAGTGAATGAGCCTTGGGTATCTAGGCTCAACAGGCCATACCGCAGCAGGGCTYGCTCAGCTAGTTGTCTCTTTCCCTAGAGAAATGGAGCCAAACTGCTGTGCTCCTGCTGTCGTTTCAGAGCGCTGCCAGCCAAGGCAATTGTTGCTGCACACTCAGGGCATCCGATTAAAATGTGACTYGATAAGTTCTGCTGAACCTAAAACCTAGAGCACAGAAAAATTTTATTTTTTGCCTTTTAAGAGCAGTATTTGCCATAGATGCTATCCTTGCATATATCAGTTTTCCTCTGGTGTATGTGCTCCTTCCACGTTGCTCTCCAAAGGGGTGATGATGCTTCCTTGACATCCGTGCTGATCTGGAGTGTGTTGAGCCAAGAAACACGAAGGAAGGAAATGCCTCTTGTGGTTGGAAAGGACCTCGGAGGAAGCAAGGCTGATTTTAACATCAGGCTTATTCCTTATGTCTAGTCACAGCTTTTTATGGGCATTTCACAGTCTTTGCTAACAACAGTATTTCATTGACAAGAACGTGTCTCTGATTCTGTTCTCCTTCTGCTGCAGATCGTGAAGGAGGCATACCCTGATCACACACAGTTTGATCAGAAGGATCCTCATTATGATTCCACCAGCAGAAAAGAGAACCCCAAGTGGTCTATGGTAACGTAGTAAACAAAATACATCAGTTTCAATATGGGTGCAAGCACAGCTGAGTTAGCAGTTTCCTCTCATGACATCACAGATCATCTTAAGAGTCTGTCCCATCCTAGCTACCTTCCCTCTCCAGAGCAAATCCAGTCCTAATTGTTTTCTCTGCCTTCTCCCCTATCTTGGTCACCCAGCTGSCAAAAAGAATTCTCAAAACTTTCGTACGTTTTCTGGATGCAGAATCAACCTCCCTGAATGGCAGAATGTGCATTAGGAAAGACAACATCTTTAAGCACCACTCTGGGCCTACAGCAAACAAAGCTGTAGTTTTGAGGCAAACTAAATTATAGGAAAGTGACTGTTCACAGTCTGGTTATAACCCACATCTTTACTTTTTACTGTCTGTGGCCACAAGAATATATGTTGTTAGTAGACAGCACTAAGATCCATGCAAAAAAGGGGCCTGCCAGAAGTGTCTGAAAGCTCTTGTAGCCTTGAGCAAGAAAAAGCTTCCATACGACATCTTCCATAAGACATCCATCATTTATTTCAGTTTTAGATCTTCATCCTCTCCCCTCCTCAAGGCCTTTTGAGACATTTAGAGGCTGTGTCCTTGTCCAGCCCTGCCAACTGTGCTTCTTTGCTGCCCATCACTCCCCAGGTGGATGTCCAGTTTGTGCGGATGACAAAACGTTTCATCCCCCTTTCCGAAATCAAGGCCCACCACCTGGCACATAAAGCGGATGGAGGGCCCCTAAAGAACATGATGCTCTTCACAAGGCAACGTCTTTCCATCCAGCCACTGACACAAGGTAAGAACTTTCTGCTTCTCTGGGCTTTTGGTGCCACTTTTTCTGAGAGGCAGCCCTCACCCAGAGAACTAGGAAGTTCACTTACGGCTTTTTCTTCCTTGCCTTTTCAACACAGAGGAATTTGATTTTGTCTTGAGCCTGGAAGAAGAAAAGCCACATTAAGAAACTGACAGCAGCACAGCTTCCACTCGGCCTGCTTCTGCCTACTCCTAAACCAGCATCATCCGCAAGTTCATTTGCCCGGTCACAGCAACAAGAACAAGCGTGCACATAATTCAAAGCTTCATGTTCCTTCCTTTGAAACACTGTTATTTTTGCTTATTTTTGAATAAAGCCTCTTAGAATAAATTTTGAGCGGTGGAAAAATCCTGCAGTTTCTCTCTGGAAAGAGGAAGTGGGTGCATCTTGCTTGAGGAGGTTTCCTACAGCAGTTCCTGAGGTTTACTGATGCAGTTCCACATACTACAGAGAGACGTTTTTCTGCAGAAAAGTATCATCTGCAGAAAAGTATCAAACTTCTGTCTAAAGCAAGACCACTTGGACTACACACACCCACCCCAGACAGCAGCAAAAGAGATTACTGTTAACTTCCTGCAGATACAAAACTTCCCTTGTTCCTTCAATTCTATTTTCTTCTATTTCTCTGATGTCAGGACTAGCTAGCTTACTTTTAGCACCTGCATGGGTCTTCCACCCACACAGCTTATAAATAGTGGCTTAGAGAAAGACCAAGTATTTATGAAGATACTGAAAGATATGGCTCTTCAAGTATGTTTGGAGGGGTGAAGAACAGGGGACAAGAGGTAATCTAAAATAAAAATGTCTTAATATCATATAGGATGCAGGCCCTAAACAGGCAATATAAATCAAATCAGACAAATCACACACAGCATTTGAAAGCCAGGGATGGCTCTTTTTAATTGGAGAGACAAAAACCCCAAGTTTTAAAATACAGCCATTGAAAAGACGATGAATTAAGAAACATGTAAACACAGCAGAGGCTTAATTACAAGTTGCACTGCTTGGTTTAGTACCTGAACACTCCCCCCAGCCTGACTCTCTGCCTGGAAGAGAGGGAATGGCCCAAGCACTGAACAGAACCACCCTGCTCAAGGGGATGTGACAGCTCAAGTAGTGTCTGCCCCTTGCCATGCAAAGAGAACTTTTCTGTAGTACCTTGTCCTGGAGTGACCTTAGGCTTCAGCTTCTCTCTGAAGATGCTCAGCACATCTCTTCCACCCCAGACAAACAGAGGGCCTAGTGGGTAACAGGTTGAATGGTCTGTTTAGATTAAGTAGAAAATGGGGATAATTTCTAAATTCTTATATAACTAAGGCAACAAGGGAGAGGGAACAAAGTAAAGTACAGAAAAAAAAAAAACAATGTACAGGATCATGCACATTTTCCAATTAGTCCCTTCAGCAGCATTCTGGGAGTTATCTGTTTCCTCCAGAAAGAGATGTTGAATAGAAATCTCCTTACAAAGCATTGTCCTTTCAGACAACTATATCCAGCAATGATGCAGTTTGGCCAGTAAATGAACCACTCCTGGAATGTACAGGCATCTTTATCCACTTGTTTTCTTTTAATACCACATGCGTACTATCTAGAGGAATAGGCAAGGGAAAACAAAAAAAGAAAAAAAAGCTGGGAGGTAAGGGAAAGCAGAGGGTGGTCAAGGTGCTGCTGTGCTCAACTGAGTCACAGAAAGGTAGTCTTGCCATCCTCAGAGGGTCCCTATGGGAGCTTCTCTTGTCTCCCAAACATTGTGTATTGCCACAGCACAGGAGGGCCCCCCTATGTAGAGGGGGGGTGTAAGTTAGTGTCAAAATAGCATCCAGGTTCCTTTGCCCCCTGAGACACTCAGCAGCTTAGCACCCCTTWCCCTGACATAGCAGAATCATTGTCTAAAGTAAGCTTTTCCTTCAGGCTCAGGAAGACATGGCTCCAGCCCATGGCACAGACTTCTCATGTAAAGAGGAGCAAGCCACGTCTTCACTATCACAGAGCAGAAACATGGTGGGACAAGAGCATTCAGCAGAGATGAGGTCATTAGTGTCCTCTACAACAGAGCGAGACTGTCCAGCTCTACTAAAAACCACAACCTTACACATGGTGAGTAAAAGATAACTTACTTTGGCAAGCAGAAACACACATTAATCACTGAAATACAGTAGCTGTCTTATTACATAAAAAGCTCCCCTTCCCACCCAGACCCCATTCCCTCCACCAGCACTGTTCCACTAAACAAAGCAGAAGATGCTTTTGTTACCCAGCTGCAAAACAACTGCTCTACATCCAACTGTAGGACAGAGGCAGAGGAGATTCATTCAGAGTCAAAACCAAGCTGGACAAAACCCTAGTGAGCTACAAACTCACATGGACATCTAAAGAAATTCCATTTGATGGAGCCAGTATTAGTTCAATCTTCTCTCCATCTGGTAGGAGGTTTAACCACCTGCTTCTTTAGAGGACATCTAAAAAAGGATGGGTATTGGCCAAACTCTGTCAAGTCTACAAAGCCACATCTAAAGTTTAAGAGAGAAGTGATTTCCTTCTGGGAATGTTGTCATGATTCTACTTAACTGAAGGGTAAATGGAGCTTATCTCAGAATAGAAAACACCCTTATTCTCATTTTCAGCTCACGCCAAACCCACAGACTTCACTGGTGAATCCAGCTCAGGCCTCAGGAACTTGCCTCTGGAATCAAAAGCTTTATCATCCTTCCAGTTGCGGCTGAGCTTCATGTAGCAGCACACACATACTGGCCAAGAGCTCCTGGAAGAGCATCCCACTTTCTGGGATTACCAATCTTTATACAGCAGGCATGAGAAGGAAAACAAGGCAAGATTTGCACACTTCTATTCAGCTGCCTCTCCCCGCTGCAAAGCCTGCCGTGTGACACGGACACAGCAATGAGCAGGGCAGTCTGTGCAACACACGCTCTCACACGGAGCCCCCCTTGCCCTCGCATGTTCCAACACTCTTCTCTAGATCTCTCAAGGCTGGTCTGGCCCTGCAGCAGCACCAACTGGGACCTGTACAAGTGCCAAAAAGCAGACAGACTGAGTCCCAGGGRTGATCATGCAGCCACCGAGGTGGCACTGCTCTCAGAGCCAGCAGCCCTCCTGTCCTTGCTTCCCGCCACCCAGCAGCCCTGCTGAGCCCCGTGCAGCCTGTGCCACCTCTCAGTTCCACACTCCACCACTCGCGTACACTTCATGCCATCCTGCTAACCTCATCTCCTCAGCATCCAGCCTCAGCGAGGCAGTCAGCAGCTCCCACGGCAAGGACACAAAACCATTCCTGTTTCCCGTGCTCCACCAGCAAGTAGCTCCATGGTAGTCCCAGGGCTGACTCAACTACGTTACGTAACTGCTTGTGACAAAGAATCCAACAACATCATGAAGAGGAAGGGAAGGGAGAAAGGGGACGACATTAAACTATTTCAGATAGGATACACTCCCTCCCTACCTTTCCAGAAGGCAAGAAAAGTTATCTATCCTAGCCAGCCCCGAAGCAATATCCATCCTGCTGAGGAAGAGCAGCGGATTTGGCCTTTGCTTGCTCTCTCCCTCCCTTCTACCATGCTGAAAGGGTCTTGGGACAAAGAGGAGATCAGGCAGCTCCACAGGCTCCGGACACACGCGTCAAAGCAGCCGACCCCAGAGGAATGTAGTTGATTGGGAAGCACTGAGGTACCTTCGACTTCACATCTCCGGAGCTCCAGCTTGCCTTGCCCTCTTATCCCCTCCCCACCCTGCTTGTCCTTCGAAGAAAGGAATTAAGTCAAAAACGGATATTTATTTTCATGAAGTCTCTGAAGTATTTTCTCTTCCTCCTCGCTGCTGCCCCCAGCAGCTCCACAGCAGCCTGCCTTCCTCTGCGTGGCCTCTCACTGCCGGCTGTTGTTCTCTGCAGACTGGCTGGGCGTCTTGGCCTCGGCGTGCGAGGATGTCCCCTCAAACCTCTGGGAGGCGATGGCTGCTTGATGGGACATGCTCTTCCTCACTATGTCTCCTTTCCGCCAGAGCACCACCTCCTGTAGTAACACAGCCAGCAGGGCTCGTCAGGGCTTTCAGAGACCTCTTCCCAGCTCCACCCAACGCCACTCAAACTAAAACGCTGAACCAGGATGCTAGGTGAGCACCTTGCATCCAGTGCTTGCACCAGGGACAACTCGACCCGCTGGAGTTGGTGAGGCGAAGCACAGGAACTTCAGCACCAGGCAGTGAAGTGGCAGAGCAGTGCCATGTAGGCACCCTCATACACACACCCCCACTCAGCCATCCACATCTGAACTGAGGGTCATCTCTTCTAGACCCTTTCTGCACATCCCAAGTGGTCTCATCCTGATGGATTCTCAGCTCAAGGACACAATGCCTCCAGCCATGGGAATCCCACCTTCCAAAAGATTCTTCAAACAGTACCCCAAGGAACACTCTGGAGGCTCCACCCAGCCCAACTGTTCCATTTCTCACCTGCTGTTTGAAGTAGCGCCTCTCCTCCTCGTCAATCAGCACCAGGTTGAGGTAATACCGCACCGAGAACTTCTTATTGATGTCCCTCATCGTTGGAGTCAGCTCGTAGCCAGCCAGGAAGAGTCTGATGGGAATGGACTCCCCTACAAGGGGCACAGAAGCATCAGTGCAGGCAGAAGGCAAAGATTCAACGTAGGAGAGGACTGGCTGTAAGTTTATTCCTGGCTTTGGCACTGCTTCCTCAAAAACAAAAGTCACTGCAACTCATTGCACCTCAATTCTCCCACCATACAAGAGAAGGAAAGGGATCATATTTAACCACCTATATAAACTGTCACCAGTGAAGAAGGGTGTGTATCACTGCTGGGCACAGAAATGCAGCAGCAGACATTGTGGGACTCATTCCCACCCCTAAAGAATTAAAGAGAGGAAACTGAAGGGGATAATCTGCCTTCTCACCTCTGACAGGGGCCCCATCCATGATCTCATATTTAGCTATTGTGTCATTCTCATGATAGACATTGGGTCCAGTCCCTGTTGTTTCTCTCTTGATGATATCTATCTCCATGTGTTTGATCTTGATCCGCACCAGCAGGAAGTAGATCTTTCCAACAATCACATCTTTCAAATGATACCTAGCACAGGAAGGAGGAGAGCACCATGATCAAACACCGCACAGCAGACCAGGACTCAGGCTGGACAGCAGCAACTCAGTTGTCAGGCACTTCCCTCTCATCCTCAGCCCCACATCTAAATTTCACATTGTGTTTCCACCCAGCAATCAGGCTGCTTTAAACAATACATTTCATCCTCCAGCCCCTTGGAAGTCAACAAGAACACTAAGCATGGTCAGCTAAGTCTGCAAGAAACCCCTGCAATAGCAAAGCATCCAAAAAGACCCTTTTACTCCAACTGAAACTAACCCAAAAGAGAGATCTGCCAGCATCAGTTGAGAAAGCTACCTTGAAGACACCTGGAAATACTGATGCTACTGAGATAGTGGGACTGTGAAATTACTGCAACAGCCTCATGATTCCCTGTGCTCTTGAAACACTTACTTGGACTTGTTATACTCAAACTCAATGTGCAGGCAGTCCTCAATTCCCACCTCCATCTTAATGGAGGAGTTGAGCTCTGGGTAGGTGCTCAGAGTGTGCACGACTATGTCCATCTCCTTCACAACATCATTCAGTCTGCGGCTGACGGTTGCCCGGAGGAAATACCTGCAAGAACAACAGCACAGATGGCAACAGAGACAGTGCAGGGAGGAACACGGGGCTGAATGGATTAGATTGGGCTCTCTGAGCTGTCCGATTGGGACCCTGGCTACCGGAGCAGCCAATTCCCTATGTTTGGAAAGACAGGACAAAATTTTCCAATGAAAAAGCAGATTCTTCTAATACCTGTAGAAGCATTTCATGCATTTGTGAGCCTGTTAGCCTTATGGTGAACATCAGTAGTTGCACCCTGCACGGACCAAGAACTGGCGTCAGCGAAGGGAGGAGACTCACCGTAACTTCACATTCTGCCCCGTGTAGGATTCATAAGGTTTCTCCACATGTGTGAACTCGAAGTCAAATGTCTGTGATTGAGTGAATTCACCAGGCCGGGCCAGGTCTTTTACAAGAGACACGAACTCGTGGTGGTTCCCTCGGTCATAGTAGAGTTCTAGGAAGATACAAGGCCAGGTTAAGCAGTGATGCTCAGCCCACATGGCAGAGCAAGGAAAGGCGAAGATTTCACAGCTAGGAACAACTGTCTTGTTCAGATTACTACCTGCTGTTCAGAGAACCCCCCGGGGAGCCTGTGGTTGCAAAATTCAATGCTTGCTCACTGCTCTCTCTGAGCTAGAGGCAAGCCAGAACCTGAGCAAGTGCCACTATGGCAGATACGACAGCAAGATTCCCAGCAGGGCTATCCCAAGGCTTGGTTCTGAAAGAGCTGGTTTTGCACAATTAGCTCTTTGCTCACTGTATAAATCAGCAGAGCTACACCTATTAACAGAGGCCTCAACTGACTGCAGTTCTTCACAAGGAGATGACAAAGCTTGGTAAAAGAAAGGTATTCTGTAACAGAGAGCCCAGATTCCTGGGGTAGTTGCTCGGTGTATTGCTAACCTTCTCAACATCGCTTTATAATGGGGGCAGTTAGAAAGTTTGCACCATCTTAACAGTATTGGAAGATCCTGGTTTTTACCTATGTCTAAGATAGAGCCAAGCCATGCCCTCATGCAAAAGGCCTTCATGCAGAAATGCATTCAAGTCAGAAGGCCAGTCTATAAATATTCCACCTCCACAGATGATGAGAGAGCACTGAAACAGGTGGGAAGAGGGCAGCACAGCYTCACCTACTACATGAATCAGGAACTTGGCTTGCCTGAGACTGACACGGGTCAACTATAATCAATATTAATTAAGTTCAGGCTGCCTGAGAGCAGGACCCAGCAGCTTATTCCATCCCTTCTAATAGTTTTCTACAGAGTCTTATATGTAAGGCCAAAGACACTGATGCCCTAATGAGAGGCAAACTCACCACCCACTTGTATGGAAACAAAGCAAGCACAGTGACAGAGCAAAAAGGAAGGGCTGGGAGGTTTCCAACTATTCCTGCTTATTATTTGACAACAGCAAGTTTGAGAGGTCTTGATTTGCTCCAGAGAACAAGTCTTGGTGAAAAACCTCACTGGTTCCACACTATGGCAGAGCTCAGTGCATGACAACTGTGTGGGAGAGGAGGAAGAGGAGCCGAGCAGCTCCGCTCGTGCTGTGCCAGTGCAAAGTGCCAGTGCAAGCTGCCCTTCACAACCTGTGCGTGAGCTACGTGCGACTCCCAGGCACCCACACACTCCTTTAAAAAGGTAAAGCCCGGCCAATCTGATACCTTTGGATCAAGAAGCAAAAGCCTGAGTCATCAAACATTCACATGCACCCAACTTCACTGTCAGCACTAAGCTGGGCAGCAGAGCCTCTTGGGAGGTACTAGCAGAGTTCATGCACCGAGAGAGACTCAGTGCTCCATAAAACTCATCGTGAGGTTTGAGCTTTTAAGTAATGTCATTTCCGCACACCATTTTCTTCACCCTTTCTCTAGAGGAGACTGCCACTAGAATATGTCTCACTTGGACCAGCCAGCGCCATCAACCCTTTTAGGTGTGACATAAATAAACTAAGTCTCTCTGTGTTGAATAAATGCCCACCAAGAGCAGGAGAGTTCTTGCTATGGGACAGAAAGAAGCCATGTGTCACTTAAAAAGAGGATATATATCACTACGCTGCACGATGCAGAAGGCAACGACTGAATCCAAAGCAAGGAGAGGCAAGTGCCAGTGCCCTGCATCCTCAGCTGCCTCCAAAGGACAGGGGTAGCACTTCGTAGTCTTTAAGAAGGGTTGATGCTCCCATGCTTTACAAGATACTAACATGTCAAACAGATAGAAGCTGTAATTTCCGTTTGCTGATGCCAGGAGCATGGGGTAACACAGGGCAGCATCACACAAACCCGCTCCTTGGGGGCGGCCTGCACGGAGGGCAGCRCTCTGCTCCCCGCTAGGCAGGAACRGGGCTCCCCGCTACCCCCGCCCCGAGCTCCTTGGCACCGGAGGGTCTCGGATGCCCAAATCCCCGCTGGGACCGGCGCGGGGTGTGACAGCTGCCTTGCCGTGTCCAGATGCATCCCAGCCGGCTACACAGAGATCAGCATCGCGCTTAGGGAGGCGACCGCGCAGGATGCGCGCTCATCCCGGCAGCGTGGATCGCGTGTCAGCGCCGGGGATCCGCGGCACCAGCGCCCCAGCAGCGGCGGCAAAATGGGAGCGTGACAAGGGCCGCCCTGGCCCGGTCCCTCCCTCCGCGCGGCGGCAGGCCCCGCGCTCACCGATCTGCCCGATGAACTCCACCTTGATGCCCTGGTGCTCGAGCCGCTTGTTGGGGTGCTTGAGGGTGAGCAGGACGCGGCCGGCCACGGTCTCGCCGTCGTAGAAGAGGAAGTACTTCTCCTTCTTGCCCTCCTCGCTCTTGTGCTCCACCCGCCGCCGGCTCTCGCCGTCGCTCAGCACGAGCTCCAGCTCCGCGCTCTGCCCGAACCCGAAGAAGCTCATGGCCCCGGCGGCCCGGCCGCAATGCGGCACGGACGGC